AGTCTGATTCTACAATGATAACCATCTTGTTAAGTCTGGTGTCTTTCTGGTAGAAGTCTGATTCTACAATGATAACCATCTTGTTAAGTCTGGTGTCTTTCTGGTAGAAGTCTGATTCTACAGTGATAACCATCTTGTTAAGTCTCAGGTGTCTTTCTGGTAGAAGTCTGATTCTACAATGATAACCATCTTGTTAAGTCTGGTGTCTTTCTGGTAGAAGTCTGATTCTACAATGATAACCATCTTGTTAAGTCTGGTGTCTTTCTGGTAGAAGTCTGATTCTACAGTGATAACCATCTTGTTAAGTCTCAGGTGTCTTTCTGGTAGAAGTCTGATTCTACAATGATAACCATCTTGTTACGTCTGGTGTCTTTCTGGTAGAAGTCTGATTCTACAATGATAACCATCTTGTTAAGTCTGGTGTCTTTCTGGTAGAAGTCTGATTCTACAGTGATAACCATCTTGTTAAGTCTGGTGTCTTTCTGGTAGAAGTCTGATTCTACAATGATAACCATCTTGTTAAGTCTCAGGTGTCTTTCTGGTAGAAGTCTGATTCTACAGTGATAACCATCTTGTTAAGTCTCAGGTGTCTTTCTGGTAGAAGTCTGATTCTACAGTGATAACCATCTTGTTAAGTCTGGTGTCTTTCTGGTAGAAGTCTGATTCTACAATGATAACCATCTTGTTAAGTCTCAGGTGTCTTTCTGGTAGAAGTCTGATTCTACAATGATAACCATCTTGTTAAGTCTCAGGTGTCTTTCTGGTAGAAGTCTGATTCTACAATGATAACCATCTTGTTAAGTCTCAGGTGTCTTTCTGGTAGAAGTCTGATTCTACAATGATAACCATCTTGTTAAGTCTGGTGTCTTTCTGGTAGAAGTCTGATTCTACAGTGATAACCATCTTGTTAAGTCTGGTGTCTTTCTGGTAGAAGTCTGATTCTACAATGATAACCATCTTGTTAAGTCTCAGGTGTCTTTCTGGTAGAAGTCTGATTCTACAATGATAACCATCTTGTTAAGTCTCAGGTGTCTTTCTGGTAGAAGTCTGATTCTACAATGATAACCATCTTGTTAAGTCTGGTGTCTTTCTGGTAGAAGTCTGATTCTACAGTGATAACCATCTTGTTAAGTCTGGTGTCTTTCTGGTAGAAGTCTGATTCTACAATGATAACCATCTTGTTAAGTCTGGTGTCTTTCTGGTAGAAGTCTGATTCTACAGTGATAACCATCTTGTTAAGTCTGGTGTCTTTCTGGTAGAAGTCTGATTCTACAATGATAACCATCTTGTTAAGTCTGGTGTCTTTCTGGTAGAAGTCTGATTCTACAGTGATAACCATCTTGTTAAGTCTGGTGTCTTTCTGGTAGAAGTCTGATTCTACAGTGATAACCATCTTGTTAAGTCTGGTGTCTTTCTGGTAGAAGTCTGATTCTACAATGATAACCATCTTGTTAAGTCTGGTGTCTTTCTGGTAGAAGTCTGAATCAAGTACGATGTTGGTCCGTTACTGATCTGCATCAAGTACAATGTCTAAACACATGTCTAGATCAACTCTCAAGCCAGTCTGTCTGAATAATAACTGATGTCTGTCTACTAAAAGTTTGAATCAAGTATGATGTTAATCTGGTACAAATCTGAAGAAAGTTTGAAAGTTATTATTAGGATAACACTTTCTTTGTAAATAACAAGCTTTAGTATTTGGGGGGTTAAGTTCCATCTGTTATTTGACCCCATATTGTCTGAGTATGGCACCTAATCATAAGCATACACAGTCAGCAATCTAACCCACTGAGTCTTCTACAATAACGGAACCTGTGAAGGTCCGGTTTAGAATGAACCTTCAGTAACCCATGCTTGTCATAGTGGCTTGCTTGCTTGGTTGACCACATGTCATCGGTTCCCAATTGCGCAGATCAATGCCCATGCCGTTGATCACTGGATTGTCTGGTCCAGACTCAATTATTTACAGACCACTGCCCTATAGCTGGAATATTGCTGAGTGCGGCGTAAAACTAAATTCACACACACACACACACACACACGCAAACGGAAGTCCAACAACTGGTAGTCTAGATAATGTACTTTGTGTACCCACCTGACAATTGTAACTGGCATGCCTCCTGAAAAGAGGCCAAATGTAACAAATGATATGCTTTGGACTACATGTATTGTGGAATTCTCTTTGGCTGAGTCAGATTTGCTGACTCTGTGTGCTGGCAATTAGGTGTCATTCTGGGAATGACATGGAGTCACTGATGATGCTCCTTCATTAACCAATATTATGAAGTGGGCAGCCATGTTCTAGAGGGGAAGAGAGACCCTTGAAGACCACCCAAGATCAGAAGGCCTTAAAGTGCCACCACTAAGTAAAATGTTAAAATACTGGAAATGAAGATATCCTGAGAGCAAAGGTCTCAGACTCCTGATTAGAAATGTTCTATATTCATCATATCTCATGAGAGTATTGTTTTGAAGCCAACTCAGACAATTTTGTCTGATTGACTTGTAACAAATGATGAGTCTAGGGTTCACTACAATCAGACAGACACTAAACAATGGTCAAAGCAGCACAAAGATCTCATATTTCCACAGAAGAGGAAAGCAAGGTCTCTTCCATCAGCTTCCAAGGTCATGTCTTCAGATTTCTGGGAAACCAAAGGAATCCTATTTGTGGACTGCCTCCCAACAGGTCAGACCATTCTACTTAAGCAACTGGGTGAGAAAATGAAGGTTAGATGTTGTGGAATACTCACTAGAACTGTGTTACTCCACCAGGACCATGCATAAGTTTGTTATCACCATGGTTGTATTCCATGACTTTGACTCAATGAAAATCCTTAGTCATTATCAGATTTGTCACCACAAGGTTTCCATTTCTCACAACTGTAAGAAAGGTGGTGGTGGTGGAATTGGGTTTAACATTGTGCTTGAGAATATTTCGCTCATATGATGACGTGCATGCATGTGTATGTGTATGCGCGGCTGCTTGTACTAGCCCAGAAGCTGGTTTTATAGTGCTAGCCCACTGAGATACCATGCCGCAGTGAAGCATGAATACCCCACTCAGACACATTATACTGACTCCGAGCCGACCAGGCTTCACATGTTGTACCCATATGGGGAACCATGCCTTTGGTTTTGACAGGAGACCAGAAGGCTATTGCCCCACCCCAAATCAGTAAGCAAATGCTGGTGTTATTTCTGCTGTGGGGGACATTTTTCACCACAAAGAGGAAGACTTATACTTCAGAAGGATCCAGAACCTGCATTATTGTCATCAGTATTTGGACCTGAGGGTATCCTGTTGCAAAATAATTAATTATTAATTTTTCCATATTGGTCAACAGACTCAGAACTTTTCTACCTCCACTCATATCAATGTTATATGGCAAACATTCCATCCATGAAATATACATATAAAAGTCTTGTTACCGCAAAAAAGTTCATTGACTGTTAAAACCTCAAATACAAAGGGTCAGGGAAAACCTGGTTGTCTAAGGCTCCACAATCGACTGGTGCAGTGTTGCATCTTTAAGTGAGTGAGTTAATTGGGTTTTACGCCGCTGTTAGCAATATTCCATCAATATCACGGCAGGGGAACACCAGAAATGGGCTTCACACATTGTGCCCATGTGGGGAATTGAAACCGGGCCTTCAGTGTGACAAGCGAACGCTTTAACCACTAGGCTACCCCACCGCCCTGGTTGCATTTTTAAGGTTTGGCTGAAACATATGATCCCTGTTATAAAAGTCCCAGGTTTACATAGACCATATTTGTCACCATCATCCCCGTGCTCAAATAAACTGTTAACCTGAATCACTAGAGAGTTTCTAGTCACACGTACATGACGTGATGTGCCTGAGATATTGCAAACAGTGTTAAACCAAAATCACGCACTCATAATACAAAGCCAAATGCTATTTCCTCTCAATATTTCATATCTGAAATCAATGTAGTGAACTTTACACACAGAACAGGCAGGAGTATTATCAGCAGCTGAATGGTACATATCAATATAAGGATCACCAGGATGATCATAACGCAGCTTATTAGCGCAGTGTCACGTGATGTTTCTGTTGTCAGTCTCACAGAGGATGATCATTTCCTGAGTGTGAGACTACCTGTTACCAGATCAGTCTGTCAAGGCAGTCAATATTTTATGAGCTGATGGGAAATTGTAAGGTGTAGTGGAAAGAGAGATTATGAAAATGGTTGTGATTACGTGATCTTGGAATGAGATAAAAGTCCCTGGAGTATGTAAAAGAAGATTACCACTGAGAAGTGAATCATGGGATTTGGTGGAGGACAATGATTCAAGGCCATGGATTTTATAAACACTGATTTAGTTACGGAACATGGTGTAACTAATTCCTGAGTTCTACCATTTCTGTTCTACATCCTGTACATCAATTTGAAATACGATGACAATCATCTGTCAGCATAGGCATATAGAAGTTGGTAGGATAATACAAGACACTTGATATGGATGTGCAACTTCTTTATTATTTACACACGACGATGCCTATCAAACATCTGATCTGCCATCTACACAGAGATGAAGCAGTATGACTCAAACGTTGTGTGTAAATAATAAAGTAGTTGCACATCCATATCAAGTGTGTTGTACAATCATCTGTTTTTAAAACTCATATTTCAATAGAATTTAAGGAAATATGCCTCAAAATTATATCACCTTGACAATAACAACAACAGCAAAAGCTGAAAGTTGAACTCAGAACTGACCAATTCCATGTTCATGACACTACATTCTTATTGACCCAATCAGTGAATCAGTGTGAACTCCCTGGGGGAGTATACAACCCAAGCTGGCACTGAGGCACTAAAAGGTTAATAGTCTCATTACCATCTTGTCCTGCTGCGTACCCTTTCACCGCCGGGTGAACAGAAGCATGTGTTGAACAAAGTCCCATGTCCAAGGAGACATTATGTGTTTTAAGTGACGGGCACGAATGAAGCCCCAGAAAAACTCTGTGACCGAAGGTTGCTTCAATTTATTGAATTTGTTACATGCCAGCAGAGTCTTTTTGTTTTGCCTGGTTTTCTTTTAATCTGAAATCAAATTAAAGATAGACACGTACTGCACTGCGATGCCTCCTTTATTATTAGGTTCAATTTACCACACAGAATAAACTCAACTATTTGGCCATGCTTAAACCCCCGAAAGGCACAAACAAGAAAAGTATTCACACACTTTAAAGAACATAATACAGGCCACTGAAAGGCCCTATTCCAAATCTGAAGAAAAATATGAAAATCATAAATAAAGTTACATTTAAATCAAACAAAGGCTATATTTACGTTTTACCACAAATTATTTCATTCTGTATGCATGACAATTAAGAATGGGTGTAAATAATATCCACTCGTGTCCCACTGGACACAAAAGAGAATGGATGTTTGAGAGATTCAGCTGAAACTTCAGTTATTTTCTGATATTTCTGGTCTGACCAGAAAAACAAGCAATGTTTGGGCAGTGTATGTCAGATTTCTTCAATCAGTCACAAAGATTCACACATGAAAATCCCTTTCAAAAGAATTGAGTGAGTGAGTTTAGTTTTACGCTGCACTCAGCAATATTCCAGCTATATGGCGGCGGTCTGTTAATAATCAAGTCTGGACCAGACAATCCAGTGATCAACAGCATGAGCATCGATCTGTGCAATTGGGAACCAATGACATGTGTCAACCAAGTCAGTGAGCCTGACCACCAGATACTGTTAGTCGCCTCTTACGGCAAGCATGGATTACTGAAGATCAATATTCTAACCCGGACCTTCACAGGTACCTTTCAAATGAAACATAAGGTATCACACATAGTTTGTATTTAGTTCCTGTAGTCTACAGATCCAAATGTAAGTAGCTGGGATCTGAAACTTCATTGAGTCCTGGAGATTTCTGGCTCCCAATCCATAATGCATCCTCAAGTTACGACCTATCGTAACTCTATGGTATATCATTGTCTAACGAATGACACAGTGCTATGAACGCTTTGCGGATGAGTAGCAGGATTTCAAATAGACAGATTTTTGTGAATATAAAGCCAACAGACAGAGTGATGTTCCATGTGGTATCTGTAATTGGCTGACAATGACAACCTCCTAAAGCTACAATGGAATATAAATTTCAGTCCTCCTTTATAGGCCTAAAATAGGTGGCTTCACTTGTAACTAGAAACTAAAATTTGATCAGTTACAATCCACTGAAATATAGAAGTAATAATGACACCCAAATTTAGGACCAACCATTTGACATTTAGTGTGGGACAATTAATTTCTTTAGGCCTCAGTTTTTCATGCACAGTAAATATATTTGTTGGATATGCCAGGTCACTCAAAGGGTAACACCATTTGACTCTGCCTTTCAGAGAAGAAATTATATATCATGAAGCAGAAATTCAGCTACAAAATAATATCCTGGGCCTATATTTTCGAAGCTCTCTTAGCGCTAAGATAGTTGTAAGTGCCATACATTAACATTAACTTACAACTATCTTAGCGTTAAGACAGCTTTTGAAAATCTAGGCCTTGGCAACTTGACTATTTAATGATCTGTCCCTTACTGCAGTAGGAATGGGGCTGTAAACATCACTAACAGGGGTGATTATGAACAGTTCTACTTGTATTAAGAAACCCATTTTGATTGGCTACTGAATGGTCATTTTTCCTTATGTATTCCATGGACAGATGAGGTATAAAATTTGTATACCTGACTGGGAAATGTTGAATATAGTGCTTGTACCTCTCAGCTATTGTTCAAACTGTATGTCTGACATTGTTTTAACACACAGGGTTTATTACACAACACAGGGTTTATTACACAACATGCCACTTGAGACTGGTCAGCAAGTAATAATATAAGACAGTGACTAATACACTTGTAGGATAAATTCATTAATTGTTAGATTTTATCCCATTACATTTCAGAGTCCCTTTTCTAACTTCATGTGATTGTAAATTAATATTCAGCAATTTCAAAGAAAGACACAAATGAAAAATAATCATTCACACATTTTCCCATTTAAAACTGGAACAAAATATAATACATAATTCACTTCAGTTTTATGAAAATTCAAAGATAATCTATAAACACAATGATCAAGTTTGTGGAATAATGAAAGTGATTTACTCACCCATTCAAGCCATCTTCGAAATATCCTATCCTGTGCAATGAGACTGAAATGAATAGAGAACAAAGTGTCAGGAAATGCGTCAGAATGTGAAACACAAATATATTCCTCCCAACAAGAAGAAGAACCCAATCAGATTCTCTCACAAATGATACAAGAATTCTTTTATCAAAAAATGTCTGTCATTGCAGTTAGTCCTTAATTCAGTTTCAGAGGTCTGTTTAGAAATATGCATGAGAAATTCATGAAAAACCAAATGTGGCATTGACTTCAGCAGTTAAAGGAATCCTCCCAGGGACATGGAACTGGACTGGAACGGCATCTGCCATGAGGTGTCTCTACACCCACCTCAGTCCTTGAGTGGAGGAGTTTCATCACAGTTTCGTAACTTCAGTAACATCACAAGTGATAGATTGTTTTAGGAAATGTGACATGTATATGCCTGGGACAAAAATACATTTTCATGATGATAAACTGAATCATATATAACCTTCCTGATGAGTTTTGCATGTTTGTTTGTTGCTGAAATCAGCAATAATCCAGCTATTTGATGGCAGTTTGTAAATAATCGAATCTGAATCAGACAATCCAGTGATCAACATGCGTATCAATCTACACAATAACATGTGTCAACCAAGTCAGGCAGAGTGACTACTTCAAATCCATTTTAACAAACACAAAAGAGCATAATCAGCAAATTTCCTTCTTGCAAAGTTTCAGTATCATCAACATTGGAACTATTCACCCGCAACCACTCACTCTCTGAAAGTGAATGAGTTTAGTTTTACGCCACACTTAGCAATATTCCAGCTATATGACGGTGGTCTGTAATAATAAAGTCTGAACCAGACAATCCAGTGAGCAACAGCATGAGCATCGATCTGCACAATTGGGAACCGATGACATGTGTCAATCAAGTCAGCGAGCCTGACCACTGATCCCATTAGTCTTGCGACAAGCATGGGTTGCTGAAGATCAATTCTAACCCGACCTTCACAGGTAACATCAAATTAGAATGAGATGAATGTGTCACATAATGTCTTTGACAATGGCAGTTGTGACGTAATGTTGTGATAACTTATTTATGCTAGCCATTGTTCAGTGAATTCTAGTGAGTCAGTGTATCCATACATGTAAATCACATTCAGTGCTTCTGTGGACACACCAGGCATGGTGTCAGGTTTAGTCAGGGTAGTGTAGCGGTTAAAGCGCAGCACCGCAACCAGTGGACAATGCACTCGGTGGTGTAACAGGACAAACCTTCCCCTGGTGTAAACCAAACCCTGGGGAAACTTTAGCGTAGGGCCAAACTCCCTTATATAGATTCTGGCCTCAGTCCGTTTGAGACAAAATGATACCGATGAATTGCAATCTAACACAAAACAAATAGACATAAAAGAATCAAACCAACACGGACTGCAATAAAAACAACAGACCAACTCTAGAAAAAAATTGCATAATTTTTGTCACAAGTTGCATGTGCATCTCGCTTTTTGCGCTGTTCCTTTATTTGCCAATGCGCCCTTGTAACAAACTGGGAAAACGCACAAATAAATGATGACAGTTACTTAAACAACTTTTTTAATTTTGTGACAAAAATTATGCATTTTTTCCAGAGTTGGTCTGTTGTTTTTATTGCAGTCCGGGTTGGTTTGATTCTTTTATGTCTATTTGCTTTTGTGTTAGATTGCAATTCATCGGTATCATTTTGTCTCAAACGAACTGTAGGCCAGAATCTCTCCCCTTTTGATATAAGAGCAAAGGTGGGGAAGAAGTAGTCGAGGTAGGCCAGAATCTCCCCCTTTTGATATAAGAACAAGGGTGGGGAAGAAGTAGCCTGGCTAGGCCAGAATCTCCCCCTTTTGATATAAGAGCAAGGGTGGGGAAGAAGTAGCCTGGCTAGGCGAGAATCTCCCCACTTTTCATAGAAAACAGAACAAAATATCCTAGTTTAAACAGGGGGGAAAGTTTGGCCTAGGGGGGGAAACTTTAGCCTAGCCCAAACTTTCCCCAGGGTAAGAATATCCTAGGACAAAACCTCCCCAGGGAAAGTTTAGACCGGGGAAGAAATGGCCTGCTACACAGGGTTCGATTCCCCATATGGGTACAATGTGTAAAGCCCATTTCTGGTGTCCCCCGCCGTGATATTTCTGGCAAATTGCCAAAAGTGGCGTAAAACAATTCTCACACACAGGCATGGTGGAAACAGATATGGACTCACAGTCAGGATGCAGGCATTTGTGTGCACTTGATTGTGTTCCATAAAAACATGCTTGATCATGGTCAGAAGAGTTTAACTACTTTATACAAGGGGCGGTGAGGTAGCCTAGAGGTTAAAGCATTCGCTTGTCACACCGAATTCCCGACATGGCTACAATGTGTGAAGCCCATTTCTGGTGTTCCCTGCCGTGATATTGCTGGAATTTTGCTAAAAGCGGTTGATCACTGGATTGTCTGGTCCAGAATCGATTATTTACAGACTGCCGCCATATAGCTGGAACACTAGAAAGGCTGAACAAAGTTCAAAACAGAAAAGGTCTAACTATTTACAGAATATATTGATGTTGATAATCATTGACAACTTTCCTGCATAAAACTGCTGAAACCTACCTAAGTCACTTTTCTGAATTAACCTCATCTCAGATACATCCTTCATCAATCTATTTGGATCATGAACAGCAAAATTTGAGTGGTATTTCATAAATTAATAGCTTTCAATATGCACACGTCAGTGATTGACGATCATGACAACCACCAGGTCAAAGGAACAAGTCTAAATTCCTGGAAAAGTGTGAATCATCCAAGATTACAGCTTGACAACAGCAATCCAGGAAACTGCAGGTTTATACCAGCTCCAGCAGTCTGTGGTATTGCTATAAATACAACAGTGTACAACTCGTACAGCACAAAAATTGTCCATAAGTGACCGAAATAGCTTCAGTTCCACAATTTCATCCATCATAGTTGGCAACAGCACACAGCATAACCATTTTTCAGCGGAACGTTTCCAATAGTATGGTATTAAATACTTGTGTATGGCAGTAATCATTGCCCAGACATAGGCAAGTTATTCAATAATTGATTTACCAAAGAGACAACACCTGGTCAAACAGTGAGTGAGTGAGTGAGTGAGTGAGTGAGAGTGAGTGAGTGCGTGCGCGCGTGCGTGCGTGAGTGAGTGAGTGAGTGAGTGCCTGCGTGCCTGCATGCCTGCGTGCCCTGCGTGCCTGGGTGCGTGCAATACCATGAGCAATATTCCAGCAATATCATGGCGGGGGATATCAAAAATGGGCTTCACACATTGTACCCATGTGGGGAATCGAACACGGGTCTTCGGCATGACAAGCAATTGCTTTAACCACTAGGCTACCCCACCGCCCCTCAGCTTCAAGAGGGAGGAAAGCTGAGTGTTGAATAATATCTGATTTAAGAAATACAGTTCGCTGTACCACCATGTATAGTGTAATAAAGCACACATTCGCCCTGAACTGTATTTCTTTTCTAAGATGCCAAATTTAGTACTTTCTAAAGATAATTACGATTAATCTAAGGAAGAAAACGAATGACTGTGTTGGTGACCTAAATTTAGAATATTCGCACAGGGCTAACTGGCGTGCTGTTCTATTGATGTGTCCGGCCCCCTACGTTAAGACGAACGTTACCAGAAAAAACAAATGATAATCAGTTTGATGACTGTTTACGTTCGAATTAAATATCTTCTCTAAATTATTTTAATTACATCTGTGATTAACTTAAACCATGTGGGGCAATATGAACGTCGCATTTCTACTACCAACTTAAGTTTAGATCAGTACGTCCAGATGAAGCTGAGTAGTCAAGCGACATTCCACGATCACATTGTGGGAATGTAAACATTGTGTACGTTACTGTGTCGCTGAAAACTTGAGTCGAATTGACACATTTTAACCATCAGAAAACATAAACATAATGTTTCCACCAGCGATGTTATCTGCGTGAAGCAACTGCAAACCAATAAAACGGGACGCAACGGAGTAGTTTACTGTGGGAGGCTATACCAGGCGATGACAAGTGACATGCTTCATGGCATCGCCACATTGTGACGTAATGCAAAATTGTTCGATTCACGATGGGGCAGACTAGGAATGGCTTAGTGAAACCATTACATTGTGACGTAATGCAAAAAGTGCACATTAACGTCTGATAAAATATTGTCGGAGCCTTTGATCTTTCACCGAAGCATCTTAGAAAATATCACAAATATATTTTAATACGTTTTGTTCATGAACATATTCCAAAATTATCCAAGTAAAATAACCAAAGTCAGAAAACAGCTAAGTATAAAGTAAGTGAGTGAGTTTAGTTTTACGCCACACTTAGCAATATTCCAGCTATATGGCAGCAGTCTGTAAATAATAGAGTCTGGACCAGACAATCCAGTGATTAACAGGATGAGCATCAATCACAAACAATTGGGATCGATGAACATGTGTCAACCAAGTCGGGGAAGCCTGACCAACCGATCCATGTGTCAACCAAGTAGCATTGCCTCTTCTACGACAAGCATGGGTTACTGAAGACCAATTCTAACCCGGATCTTTATGGGTACAAAGAGTTACAGAATACTCATGTCTGTCATTGATGATGGGTATTGCAACACATAGCATGTTAATTGTATTTGTTCCTTAACTTGTCTGAAGAATATGCAATAAATATAGATATGAATCTGAAAGGTCTTTCTACCTTCAACCAAACATGTATGTTTAAGGAACTTTGCAAATCAATTCATGCAAAATGTCTGGCCCACTAACAGGTCTGTGACACAATATAAAATGCTTTAAAATTAAACTTATGGGTTTTTAGTCAATTTTAAGCCTCCTGACAGTGATTTTGTTTGTTTGATTGTTTAATGTTACACTGAATAATCAGTAAATACAGTATATTACTTGTTTGAGTGGCATTTTAGAAGTTGAGACGTACAATATAGAACAAGTTTTATGGATAACAACTTCTTTATTTCGTGAGTGCGACGTTTCGATACAGATTCTTGTACCGTTGTCAAGCAAG